CGCTCCTGCCTGCTGGTGCGGGGTGTGTGACGGAAATCGATCTAACGGGGGTGGCTCTTGTCCGCTCAAATCGTTACAGACTCCCCGCTGAATAAATCGGAGCAGCCGCCTTCGCTTCCTCTTGTTCTTCCTGGTACAGGACCTTAGTTGTGGTTTCTAGGCCTTTCTAGGACTTTGGGGTGGAGCCCTTGTTGAATCGTAAATGAAAGGACTTTTGCGGTTTTGCTAATATAATCTTGTATTTGCAGAAGTCTTACGGGTTTTACATGAAGAAGCGTCTTGCAGCGGGCACCTATTTTTATATACAAAGCTGTGAATTCGTAAGCTGCTTAAAGGGAGTGCTCCACCTACACCCAAGTCAAGTATAGCCCCCTGGGAAGTCTTGCAGCCTACACTTTATTGTCAGGTACATGCCATGGAGCGTTACACAGACAAAGTGGCGCAAGGCAATATAGATTGTGAACTCTCTGTTTCATACTCTCGTTCTCCTTGTTGGGGAAGCTTACTTGGCTTTCATTCAGGCAATATTAAAAGTAGTAGCGGGACCGCTGTCCAGAACCTTAGAAGATAGAAAATGTTGATCTTCAAACGAATATTTTTGCTCCTTATTTGCAGGTTTTGATGTTGCAAAGACAGGTGATGCCCGAATTGGGTTTGTGGGTTTTCCATCAGTGGGGAAATCTACTCTTCTAAGTAATCTTGCTGGTGTATACTCTGAAGTGGCAGCGTATGAATTCACTACACTGACTACCGTGCCTGGAGTCATTAGATACAAAGGAGCAAAGATACAGGTGAGATCTTTTTCTGTCTGTGAGGATAAGATTGTATATGTAGATGCAGTGGTGTTACAGCTGAATGGTCTAGCCTGACATCAGCAGGTTAGAAGTGACATGTAGAAGTGCTTGAGAATACATTGGAAATGTTGCCATGAGGTGCTTTTCACTTCGTTCTGGGGAGAAGTTCCTGTGGTAGTTCTCACATTCTGTATGAGATGATCTGTTGCATTGTACTAATAGGGCACCAGGGATAATACAATATATAAGAATCAAAGGGGAAACAATTCTATTCAGATTTGCAGTAGAGTCAGCTGGTTTAGGAGAAAGGTAAAAGTAGGATTTATGTTCTCCATGAAGAGAAATATTTTTCTCATGAGTTACTTTCCTTCCTCTGAACAAATAGCTACTTGATCTCCCAGGAATTATTGAGGGTGCCAAGGATGGTAAAGGCAGAGGACGGCAAGTCATTGCAGGTGAGTATATTAGAGCTGGAGGCAGCATCCTATCACTGGTTCAGTTAGTACAGCTTATGAGAGTGAAGGGTTGAATCACTGTTTCTGATGTCTTTAAAAAGCTGAATTGTGTGCTGGAATTGAGCTGTCTGATGTGAAGCAGTAGCCATTTTTATTTTGTTCTGTTTTCAGTTCTGGCTTTATGCATTTGCTGAGTTCATGCTTGGCATTGATACTGCAGTGAAAGTATGTTACCAATTTTGAAGACAGATATGATCCCATATTAAACAAGGCTGCTGTCCTAATTTCATTACCTAGCTTATTGTCATCATTCTGGGCTCTGAATGTAGACAGGAAGATTTTTTCAGCCTCTGTGATTCTTAAAACATGTAAGGATCTGTCTATCATCAGTGATGCTTGGCCAGCACTACAAACTTCACTCTTCTACTGGAATTTAAAAATAAGCAATGTACTGTCCTTCAGGGGTTTAATATTGTCATCGAGTCCACTGAGCCATATTTTGTGTTGTTTTGTCTCAGATTGTGTGGGTGTACTTTTCTGAGAGATGACTTTCTTTTTCTGATTCTTAGTTGCTCGAACCTGTAATCTCATTCTGATTGTTCTGGATGTGCTGAAACCCCTTGGTCACAAGAAAATAATTGAGAATGAACTGGAGGGATTTGGAATTCGTCTGAATAGTAAACCCCCCAATATCGGCTTTAAAAAAAAGGATAAAGGAGGCATTAACCTTACAGCCACAGTAAGTTAGAAGTTTTCTTTAATCAAAATAAAAAAAAAATTGCTTGAAGAAAGAGGTGTTTGCAGTTAATGGTGTGCCTGGGACCATTCCTGTGCTATGACTTCTTTAGAAGCTGAACTGCTGTACCGTTCTGTAGTCAGTTACTTTTCTTGGAGGCCATCCATACCTGCCCTACGAGCCTGATCACCTCCCCACCCCCAAATCAGAGGCTTGGTTGCTTTCCAACAATTACAAGTTCCGAGGCCCAAAAGAGAGTGTGCAAAAACTGCCTCTCGCTTGGTGGCTACTGTGTTCTTCTGGAGAAGATTGCTTAGAGTTCCAGGCCTTGCAACCTGGACTACTCCTCATTTCCCATTTCCCACTGAATCTTCAAAAGCGTAGAAATAGCCAGAGATACCAAAAATCAGAACTCTGTTCTGGGATCTAGGTACCTAACGTAGTTGTCTGGGCACTGAACTAGTAGACGCGTGGGTTTGTATTGCAACTGGTCCCACATTGAAAGGAAACACTACTGAAATGTCTGATTGCAGCTATCAGCGGGGCATTAATAGAAATAAAGCTGTTAGGATTTAAATCTTTTTTCCCTTTCCTGAGGCTAACTATGGTAAAATCATAGTCAAGTCCAATAACTTACAGTGCAGCTATGATTTCTAGTAATCTATATGCAGCGATTGCTAGGTGATAGCATTATTAATTGTAATACTTGATTTGACTGTAAACGCTTCCATTCCTTAATACTGTGTCTACGTTCAGTGTCCTCAGAGTGAGCTGGATACTGAAACAGTGAAGAGCATCTTAGCAGAGTATAAAATTCACAATGCTGATGTCACACTGCGCAGCGACGCCACTGCTGATGACCTAATTGATGTTGTTGAAGGGAACAGGTACTGTTGGGACCCTGGGTTTGGCATACTTGCGATTTATATTCCAAAGAAAAGAACTGTCTTTGAGGTTTGCTTCCTGTGGAAGCTAAGCTAACAATGTGGTATCAACAAGTGCTGTTTAGCACCTTACTGCCCTTTTAAAAAATGAAGCTTTTTCGAAGGTAGTGGTGTATTTATTGCTGCTGGGCTGCTGTAATGGTATTTCCTTCTCTTTGCAGGGTTTACATCCCATGCATTTATGTCCTAAATAAAATTGACCAGATTTCCATTGAGGAACTAGATATCATTTACAAAGTACCCCACTGTGTACCAATATCTGCTCATCATCGCTGGAACTTTGACGATCTGCTGGAGAAAATTTGGGACTACTTGAAGCTAGTACGAATGTGAGTCCCAGTTGCTGCCTTCTGCGGAGTTAAGTGTAAGGCTGAGACTGAAGAATGTCTCAAGAATGGATGAATGATGATTATTTTGTAATGGTTTTCTGCTAGCATAGAGCTCTAGCTTTCAAATGATGATGTCTTTTGTCACTGAAGTATGTTTAATCTGTAAATCGGAGATTGTGCTCCTCTTTTGTCTGTTGTGTGATGGACAGTTTCCTAACAGTCACAAGTGCTGTGTTTTGAACTTCTTGCAGGGGAATCAAACGAGGACCTTGTGAAATCAAGTGCAAAATAAGTTTAAAAAAATTCCTGAAAACATGGACTTCTGGTCAAATTTAGTGCAAAGTTATGAATTTCAGAGGTACCTCTTTTCAGTCTGTCATGAGTGACATGCATTCAGCTCTCTTAACAGAACTGAATTTAGTTCTTCATCTAGCCTTTCAGGTATTTTCACTATGTTATTACAGGTTTACCTCATACTACTAATGCATTTCTTTGGGTGAATTTATGGATGAATCTATTAATACTCATAATGCAGTAATTGTAGTCTTTTAAACGTGTATCTGTCTTCTTGTGACAAGAAATTATTGTAAAAAGGGATTTAGTATGTCTAGGTATCTGGGCTATAGACTTTGTCAGTTTTTTTCCTAATATACGTTGAGTTTTTCACAGAAAAAAAAATCACAAATCAGAACCATAATACTGTAGATGTTCTTTTCCATCAACTATGCCTGTTTCATCTTCTTTTAAGCAACTACAGAAAGCTCACTCTAGGGATAAACCTTCACAATTACAAGGGAGAACCTGCTGCAGCCATTGGCTACCCAGGTGCCTTTTCAGCTTAAGAACACCAAACAATTTACAGAATATCTATCGTCACCACTGAAATAGCGGAACTCAGCACGAGCGCCTAGGATGACAGTGCGAATAACCTATGAAATTTCACAATGGGTTGAGGAGGTTTTGGTATTGACTGACTGTTCCATCTGCGTTACAGCTACACCAAACCTAAAGGGCAGCTCCCAGACTACACCTCTCCTGTGGTACTACCTTACTGCAAGACCACAGTGGAGGATTTTTGCATGAAGATCCACAAAAATCTCATTAAAGACTTTAAATAGTAAGTATTATTGTAAAAGAATAATCTATAGAGAATAGAAAATAATCTGCCTCCTGGTATATTCTTTCATTCTCTTGTAAACTAGAAGAGAAAACAGGGTTTGATGTTTTTGATGCTGAATGGACTAGATCTCCCTATGACAGTTAATACTTAAATTACTATATTTGATGTTCCTATGCTCTTTCCTGGATAAATTTCCTCTACAGGGAAAATGTTTTATCTTTATATTTAAAAGCAGCGCTAGATGCAGCATTATGGGCCATCATCCTGTATGCGCAAGTATTTCAAACGACTTCATACTTTGTTTTGATCTGCTTGTACTCTGGTTCACACAGACCACTCATCCAGGTACTTGCAGAACAAAAAGAGCTCTTAAGCATTACTTCCTGTATTAGCTTTGTGACAGAAATAGCTGTTGTTCTGCTGTTTGCATATTATACTTCTAAGCCTTTCAAATTTGATTTTTCTTCTCCTTTCAGTGCATTGGTCTGGGGTTCATCTGTTAAACACAACCCTCAGAAAGTTGGTAAAGACCATACTCTTGAAGATGAGGATGTTATTCAGATTGTGAAGAAATAAAGTTGTTCTGACGTGGTTTGCCACCGTGCCTGGAATTTGTCATTAGTTGTAAGTGGCAAAGAACAGGCCCTTTCTTTCAGATCTATAGCAAATGGGTATTGTTTTTTTATGGCAGTACCTTACTGCATGGTAAAACTGATGTTTCTGGCCAACGTGTACTGCAGTGTCCCATTCTGGCAGAACTTACAGATGAAAAACTCATGTTAAGTGACTTTCACAAGGGCAAGATCTTACAAGGAAGCTTCGATGCCTGGGATGATTTTCTGCTGCATGTATGTGTCTATCCAAGTTGGAAAAAAGTTCACACGTCAGGAATTGCTTTGTTCTAAATTAGAACAAAACACAAGGAGCAGAGGCTGGAGAACCATATCTTATGAAACAGTGCTAGAGGACACAATTCTAGCTCTTGTTTGAATGCTTCAAGGCGCTTAATAGTCCTGCAGTTGTGGAAAAGATGGCAGGTTCTACTCATGAGCAGTCACTTTTTCAGTTGTTTATATGAGTGGAAGTAAGCGATGCCTGTGTTCTACTGTGTTAGTGACTGGAAGCTTTTAAGTTTTCTTAAAAGAATTTCCTGCTTAGTTTAGAGAAGTCAAATAAGTTGCACAAGAGAAGCAGACTGCTCTAAGGGCAGTGGATCTATTGCTTTTTAGTAGAAATGAATAAAGTTAGAGCTCTGACCTGAGCAAAAAGCTTATCAAATGCATCACCCTCTAACATTTGCTCTCCTACAAAAAGCAAGTAGGGGTATTTACTTAAATGTGTCAAAAATGCTCCCTCTCATGTTACCATGCGTATAAAAAGAGAAGTACAGTGATTTCAGACACCCATTCAAGTACTAAATCCTTGCAACAGTGGTTGCTACTCAGCCTGGTAAGAAAGCATTTTCCCTAATATTTTTTCTAAGCTTAGAAGTAGATTCCTGCATAAGTGAGCTGAACTACTGCAGCCGTGCTGGGGTTATCAGCCTTGACTGGAAGGGGGCAGAGTAGAAGCTATGAAGAGTGAACCTCATTCACCCTTTCTTCAGAGCTGGTTAGTTTTACGAGTTGTTCTGGTACACTGGAATCTCATTCTTTATACTTGACCATGGCTGTACAAAAACATTTAAATGCAGCAATTCTATTGTACATCTTTAGTGAGGCCAGTTACCTTCATCAAAGCAGACTGTTCCTCTCCCCTACATGGAAGATAAGTTTTCTTACTTGGAAAACATGGAACTTTTCTGCAGATTCAGCTCAAACAAGAACATAGCTAAAAATTAGTCAATATACTGACATTATAGTTTCGTTTAAGAGCAGTTGATACAGACAGCTGGTAGAATCAACTTTATTTACAGAATGTTACTGGGAAAGTGTCAAGTTAAAAAAGTATGAAAACAATCTTACAAGGACAAGCTGGTGATTGCATGTTTTACACAGATTGTTTTAGGAACAACCACTAGAAGTATGGGTGACCCCCAATAGATTCCACATTGGAGATTTCAGCTTGCTATTTCTGTACAACATTGTCTCTGCTGGACTGAAACAAACCCACCACAGCATGCTGGCAATTGTTATAATACAGTCAAGTGATTTTTTTTTTTCCCTGCTGCTGGTTTTGCATTCAGTGAGACCTAAGAAAGAGCAAGTCCGTGAGAATTCTGGTTTTGCTTTCACCTTTTAAAAAAGAGCACAATGGCCTAAGCTAGATAGAGGACATGACAGCAGTACTAGACTCAACACAAGTGAGAAAGTGAAGTGAGGAACCATGCAGTAGAAGGATGGAAGAGAACACTTAACTGTTCAGGAAAGTGAAACGGGCTTAAAAGGAACATAGTATTTTAAAACCAAATATACACAGTAAGATCACAAAATTACCCCATCCTCCCCCTTTCACGCCACAGAACAAGACTCCAAGGGCAAGTTTCACAGTAACTGCATCAGTAGATGCACGCTAGATTTAGAACAGTTCTTGGGACTCCCTTCTATAAATAGAACTGAAGGCAGTATAGAACATACCACAGCTATGACTGAGGAGTTGAAGGGTGAGGATGTAAAGGCTCCGTTTTGATGACCTTTAGTAACTGGTTTGAAAGATTAAAACAAGGAAAATACTGCAGCTAAACAAGGACCAGCACCAGCCCTCTTGACAGAACTGTGACCAGTAGGTACCTACAGTCTCTTTGCTTATGGCAGACTAAGATCTGGCTTTATCATTACTGTACCAGGTCCCATCCTCAAGGCTGTTTGAAGACTAAACAATTCTCATTTGATGGCAAGGAATCAGACCTTTGTTATACAGACAGCAAGATGTGGGCTTTTTACTTTGACACTTTAGCTACACTGAGTGCACAGTACGTGACAGAAGAATGTGAGAGGGAGACCTAGAAGAGATGAGCAGCAAGAAAAGGCAAAGCAACTTTATCCTGTTCACTCACACTTAGGATATGCAACTTTAATCTTAAAGAAAGTCCCACATGTACAATGGAGAAAGATCCAAACCATAGGCACAACTAAAGCTCGACTGTTATCAGCTACTCTTATGTACAGCTGTATAGATTCAAAAAGGCTATTCTATGTGTATATATACAAAAGATTGTTTATACACAAGTCTGTACACAAGGGTCTATACATTTAGTTTTCTGCAGGAGGAATCCATAGCTGCTACCTCTACACTAGAGAATATCAGCACTTCATTCACATATCTTACAAAAACAAAAAATAGACACTTCCAGGATTAAACTGGCTTTGTCTTGCATCTGAATTTCTTCAGGCTTCACTATTCAAGCCATAATGGATCCTTTAGTCTTGATGCAGACATGAGACCAGGACAGGTGCCATGTGCTTTAGTCTCTCAAAAAGAAATTTTGCACAGAGTGCTAAAAATAAAAGCCCCAAAAAACAAACAGAGGTGAAGTCCTGACTATGGACATTTTAATCCAGTCTAAAGAATCACAAGTGTCCCACCCAGTGGTCACTGTTCACTGCCGGTATTCCAGTTCATCTACACTGATGACTTTGGATGGCATAGAAGGGAGAGGCTGCTGCAAGACATCTGAACCAAACCATTTTGCAAGGCCAATGGGAGAGCCACTTCTCTGGCTGGGGCGGTGGTCAAGCTGTGTGTGCCCATGAGATAATCCAGTCCGAGACAGCACATTCTGAGGGGTTGTTTGCGCACCAGCGGGTGATCCCTGTGCTCCAGTGCCTGTGAAATGTAAAGCTATTAGAGGCAGAGTAATACATTCACCCAACTGAGATTTGCCCAGAGCAATGACCTGATAAGGCGTGTGAGCTGAATGTGGCTTTTACCCGTTCTATTAGCCCTGGGAAATCCAGACCCCACATGTTTATTCTCGTTAGTACTCCCGTAAACTGCCCGACGCTGCCAGTTCTGGACACAGTATCATGCAGGTTTTAACTGGAAGACCAGCATCAAATAGCATTTTGTTTGAGATAGGTGGTTGGCCTCTCACCCAGCAAGGAAGGAAAGACTGCAACGCACGCTGCAAGGGGCAGGTCTGTCAATAGCAACATATATTTTGAAACTGAATGCTTCACTTGGACTTTCTTCTGGCATAAGAGAGAGCCTGCAGTGGCCAGAACTGCTCTGACACCCACACAAGATTAGCAATTATGAATATCTAAGTTACTGAAGTAGCTTTCTGTTAGCACACTATACTGAAACAGGCCAACAAGTATAGTACCTGGAGCAGGCTAGTCAGTGTTCTAAAACTCACACTCCTGTTTTATGTTTTAGCCTACCTGATCGCTGTAGTTGCTGCTGCATCATCGCTAGCTGCAAAGGTGTCCCAGAGCGTGGATTTAAGATGTGATGGCTGGCTGTTGGTAGTGGATAAAAAGGTTGGCCAAGGATGGGAGCAGATATTCCCTGCAAGTGAGACAGGTCTACTCCAGGAGGAAGCATACCTGTCGAACAAGAGTGAGGAAACTTCTTACCTAATAAGCATAAAGAACTTGAAGCAAAACACACGTTTATATATTTAAATGGGTTGGAATTTGTTGCCTGGTTTTAAAGGTAAGTTTTGATGTAATAAACATTACCAGTAATGAGTATCAGTTTGTGCTGTTCCTAACACAAAGTCAGTCTTACAGAGAACATGCATTAACTTAAGGGGGAAGAAAAAAAAAGTATGGATTACCCGCTTGCAGTAGAGGAAGATGTTGCGGATGAACCCCCTGTGCCAGCATTCTCTGGACCAATCCTGGATGCAGTTGATGAGCAGGTCGTACAATTGGTACATGGGGAACAAGGGGTACTTGATGAACAGGACGAAGAAAAGGGCCTCCTGGTACTGGGGAGGCCATTGTAGGAGTCTTTCTACCAGTTGATTTAGGCCTGTAGTCTTGCTCTTTGGTGCAACGATTTGCTTGGGTAAGAGGTGTGGAACATGCAGAGCGCTGCAGTGCAGGTAGTTTGGTACCTAAGGTGGGCAAAGTTTCTTGATCTGCATTCTCCACAGAACTAGACAGTAGGTTATCTGTAGCTAGAATTGAATACAACTATTATAGTCCACAGCTAGAGATTACAGCTAATGAAAATTAAAGCTAATAACTGGATTTGATAGCTAGATTCCAGGACTAGCTGAACTTTAGTCATATAGATTTAATATTAAGCATCTGTCTTTCCTGGATGCTTTTGGCCAAATTATATCAAAACAGTAATGAGAAGGAATATGTTCCACAGAAATCCCTTGACAGCAAGCTTAAATTAGGTCACAATCAGCAGTAACTCCACCTGTAATTTGTATTTTTCCTCTTTCTTAGAGATTTTGAACGGGCAGCATGGATGAGTCAGTCCCAAAGGAGACAGGAGGTACAAGGGATCCTCCCTAGACAAGATTATAATTTGGAGTTGTGCCAGAGATCTAGCCTGAAGTGGTTTTTCAGTTTAGATGTGTCTCGGGGTTAGCAGCAGCCTTCTATGTCTGACATCTGCTTGGAAAGATTTGGAACACTAAATCACCTCAGGAAGCTACTTCCACAGACCATATAGATCAGTTAGGCAAGGCCTAAAAT